TGGAGATCAGGTCTTGCAATGGTTGGATTGACTGCTACTTCCCTCTGATGCCAGAGAAGCAGGGTAGGTACTCATGGTCATGAGTTTGAATCATGACATGAATCCCCAAGGACTGTATGTCAGTAATTTCTAGTGCTTTTTTTAGCAGAGGTGGATTTTAAATTTCTAAAATAACTACATGAATTGAAGAACATTGATGGAATTTGGGGGGTTCTTATCAATACTTCATGAGCAGAAAGCAGAATTCAATCTGCTGAAATAAAGGACTTTGTATGATTTATGAACACTGGTTCAAAACCCAATGCTTACTGAATTCCAAGGGCTCTTCCATGAGAAGCAACTTTTAGTTGTTTCCATGTGGAAATAGCTAAAAGCGTTCCTTCCTGGGTTCTCCCTCCTCCAGCCGCATTGATCTGCTGTGTTATTCACGTATCCCTTTCTAAGCCTTTCTTAGAATCATAGGATCATTTTGGTTGGAGAAGACCTTTAAGATCATTGAGTCCAACCATTAACCTAACGCTACCAAGTCCACCAATAAACTATGTTCCTAAGCACCACATCTACACATCTTTTAAATACCTCCAGGGATGGTGACTCCACCACTTCCTTGATTGGCCTGTTCCAGGATTTAACAACCTTTTACGCAAAGAGATTTTTCCTAATATCCAATCTAAACTGGGTCAATTTGAGCTCATATCCTCTTGTCTTATCCCTCATTACTTGGGAGAAGAGAACAAACCCCATCTCCCTACAACCTCCTTTCAGGTAGTTGTAGAGAACTTTAAGGTGTCCCCTGAGTATCCTTTTCTCCAGAATAAACAACTCCAGTTCCCTCAACTGCTCATCATAAGACTTATGTTCTAGACCCTTCACCAGCTTTGTTGCCTGTCCTCAGACACACGCCAGCCCCTTAATGTCTTTCATGCATTGAGGGGCCCAAGACTGAATTCAATTTCAAGGCACAGCCAGCTTCTTCAGCTTTGATTAGCTCAAATAATTTGGGGCAATCTGAAGATGTTTTTCTGGTCCTTCTTTCTGTTACTTTTTCTGCACTTCTCTCTCAGTGGGAATCCTCCTTGCAGGGCAGTGCCAGCTTTCCCCTGACTCAGAGCTAAGTGTGCATTTCTGCTCTTCACCACTGATTTATTGTGTAAGGAAAGAACAAAGTGAGATGTGGTCTCTTATATGATTTGTATCTGTGCCATGTATTAAGCTTGCTAAACATTATCCAGCTTTGACAACCTTTTAAGGATTACAGAAGAGAGGTTTTTACCACAAACTAACTTAGAGATGTTAAGCTGAGTTGTCTGCAAATGCCAAGATAACAACACTGGTCCAAACTTCGTTAGCCTGGTGTCTTATGGGACAGTTAGGATTTTCAGTGACAGTTTGGTTTTGCTTACTACCAGACAGTCTTAATAGCTTCAGTTGCCAGTACTTCTGTATGTTCATACTTCTTACCATCTGAATAATCCAATTAACTTCACTAGCACGCCTAAAACAAAATCTGTGCTTAACTGTTCTAAGAATGTCAAAAGCCTTTACTGATCCTATCTTCTCCAAAATGTATCACTTCCTTGCAGCATGTTTTATTTGACCCCTTATTTTCCAGCAGTCTCTCGGCTTTATTATCCATGTATCTCTTCAAAATGGATGGTGGTGGAGACATGCAAATAGATCATTTAATTTCCCTGCAATGTCTTTATCCCCTTTAATTGTTCCCATTGCACCCTGGTACTCCACTGAGCCTTTTGATTCTCTCACAGCCTGCTTACACCTCTTATAATTAAGTAATTTCTTCTTATTTATTTTCATGTTATGCCTTTGGCTAATCTCTTCACTAAATCCCTCAGCTAAACCATCTTCATTTTTGTTTTACATTATTGTTACTTACCACTAGCTTCTGTTGGGCTAACTTCCCATTTTCCAAAGGATATTTGAAGAGCCTCTTTTGTAGTACCTTTCCATTCAGCCAAGGCAGACAGGCTCTCTCTCCCTCCTCCTTTTTGTCTTTCTAGGGCTTGTGCAAATCTTTTGTAACTCATTAGTTACTCACTAATTAGCTAACTCACTTCAGCAGGTTTCATGCAGAATCCTTATAGTACCTTAACACATTTCCCTTTGTGCAATAGTAACTAATTTCACTTTTTTTGTGTGTGTGCATGAGAGGGTTAAACTGGTGGGGAGAGAGGTTGGAGGAGGGAAGAGAATACTAAGTAAAGGAACAAAAGAGATGGACTAATAGAAAATGGTTCTGTGTTCATGCATAGAAAATGATTTGGATGCAAATCAGTCACACAGCTGAATGATTTGTCTCAAAGCCTCAAGATTAGGGAGTGGAGGGCTTCAGCCTCAAGTGGCACTCTGCTGATTTCTATCCAGACCCTGCAAAAAACCAAAACACCTGGAGGACTTGTTTGCTGCTTTCATATCTCCTTATACTCATCTGAAAAATGTCTTTGTGTTCACTTTGAGTTATTTCCTACACCATGTCTTAAAACTGCAAATACATAGAGCGGGAGAGGAATCTGGGCAGGGGATAGCCAGATCAGTTACACACTAAGAAAACTGAGTGCCATGTCTTCCAGGCAAATAATTTCTACTGAAACTACAGGGAAGTACAGGGGAGTAATCGCTTGATAACCTGGTAGTTTATGTTAGTACTCCAACAAAGACTGGAATTTCTCAGCATAGAGGAAGACTTTGTGCTCAGTCAAATGAAATATTTCATTGTGATTTAGAGTTTAAGTGGATTTCAGAAGATACACTGTGTGCACCATTTTCATACAGCCCTACCAAAATCATTACACAGCCTTTGAAAGAATCTGTAGTAGCAGGATTATGAGTTTGAAAGTTCTATTAAGTAGACTTCTCACAAATGATGGATGAAACTTTTACTTGTCACAGTGTAGCCCTGTTTTCACAGCAGCAGTAACAACAAGTATTTGGCTTATTTTAAGATTTGAAAATGTAGGGTTAAACGGAACTCTGAATGAATCCACTTTTCCCAATCTAGCCAGAAAATCAACCCATGAATGATAATGTCGTTCTTTGTTGACTTTCAACGAGAGAGTAGAGAAGGCTGGCATGAGTGTGAGGACAGTTTTGGAGACACCGCACAGCTCTGAGAAGTTCCATGGGGCAGTTCTTCTGGAAGGCTGACCTTCATCACTAGGGAGGCTGGGGCAGTGTAGTATAGGATACATCAAATAGATATAGTCTAGGGGAGCATTCGCTTTTTTCATCACTTAAGGTCTAGTAATCTGATGCTGCTATTTGTAAGTCATCATCACCCATTTCAGCTAGGCAGTAGGTAGCAATCCATACACCATTTCTTGAAATAAATTAAGACTAAAACCAAATGTCGGTTTCCAGTCCAAGCAGGATGCCTTCACTTTACGTTACTAAGGAAAGTACTCCTTCAATTTGTTCATTTAGCGCAGCTCCCCCATACAATTTGAAAAGGTCACGGTTGCCCTGTTCCTGCAAATAGAAGAGGGGTGGTCTGGTACCCAGCAGCAATAAAGTTAATTAACTTTAAGATCTATATACTGCAAGTTGCCTTTGCAACTATACTTCAGAGAAGCTTCTAACTTAGAGATTCACAGAGTTCAGAAACATTTTTTTCAAAAGAATGTGTTTTTAGAGAAAGAATCTATATTTCCACTGAAAATCTGCTGAAAGGAAAGAGAAGAAATAAGAAAACACTTCGCCATTTACTTTTAACAGAAATTTATCATGTGTTTCTCCTGTTCAGGAGTAGAACTTCTGATATTAGAAACATTTGTTTTGATCAAGCACAGGGGTTTTTTTTCTCTCAGGCAGAACTTGAAACAACGTTTTTGTAGGCTTAGATGACTTGTTTTAAGTTAAAGAAAACAGTAGAAAAGGATTAAATGAAAATCTCCATGGGAGAACATGATGTGAGCCTACTCTGTAATAGACCTCAGGCCTCATCAAAATTTCAGAGTTACGTGGAATTAAGGCAGACTGCAGTAACAGTATGTTACAATTTCATTTCACAGAAGGTTAAGCTGTACTTTCTGAAGCTTTCCTTGCTTGTTGCTCTCTAAAAGAATCTGTCGTTTGTAAAACACCTTAATGGGAAGGAGAGACAAGAGGGCCTGATTCAGATGACTTAGGTGAAAATATGGAAAAAGTCATTTAAATGTCCATTTCTCACTTTTGTAAAATGCATGAGATGGAAGTAGAGAGAGGCCCAGGCTTCCCAGTACAGACTTTCATATTAAAAAACATTTCAGTAGTTTCTTCTCTGTCACTTGTTATCTCCTTCAGGGCCTCCATGATTTCTAATTATTCTCCCAGAGCTGAGGGAAGCCTTGCAACCAGCCTATTGGTAGCTGCTAATTAATAAAGAATTCCCATTTTGAGTGGATACAGCTATTTGCTGTTTTGCATTTTGTTTACAGAAATAAGACAACAGTCAAACCTAATTGTGCAAGCTTAGAATCATTCCCTCCACTCAAGCAAGAAGCTGCGGAGCCTAGCTGTAACCATAACATCAATATTAGACTAATTTATTTCTTCTTCTGATTTTCATTTTTACAGTAGAAAGAAAAGAAGGAGGGGAAAAACCCCACAAAACACACTAAACCCCAACATACTGGCAAAGTATATCTGAAGGAGCAGGGATTTAAACTGATAGCCTGAATTCCTTTCATTTCACCACAGAGAAATATTTTTCCAAAGTAGCTAAGTTAAAATCTATTGTAAAGAATGCCAGTAGAATTGAAAAGATTTAATTCAGGGTTCATTCTATCCACCAGTGAGTGGAACTTATCACATCAACCAGGGGAATGTGAGTTTTAGAGCAGGAGCACTTTAGTGACACCTCTGAAACAACTCTTTTTTTCAGAAGAATTCTACCAGAATAAATCCCTGTCCCTTGCTCATGCCCCATCCACAGCAAAGCTGAGTATCTTGAGGTTTGAAGATAACTACAATCACTGATTTTTTTTCTTTTTCTCCTTTGTCTTTAGGAACTCCTTCATAGATATCCTTCGGGCTATCCTACTGTCCTTGGAAGTGCTTATTGAAGATCAGGAGCTTCAGATAAATGGCTTCATTCTAATTATAGATTGGAGCAACTTCTCCTTCAAGCAAGCCTCCAAGCTTACGCCATCTATCCTCAAACTGGCCATTGAGGGGTTACAGGTAGGTGGAGGATAATGCATGTACCTGCAACTTTTATTGCTGCACCCACTGATTTTTGCCTCATCATGCACTGGGCAGGGTGCAGGGCCATGGGAGAAAATAATCCAGAACGCTTTAGTGTCCCGTCCACTTGTGGCATAGGTTAACTTTCAGGTGTTTCGTTTTGACTATCTTTTGCATTTATATCAGCTGCAAATCAGTGTAACCAATGCATGTGTTATTTACCGCAGGGCTGAGGAGGACGGTTAGAGATTTGAGGCTAAATCCGTCAGAGAATTCGGGGGGATTAAAATCCAGTAGCGTCTGCCTTCTGGAGTGAGCAGTCCACATGCAAGCACATCTGCATACAGAGGGAGGGTGGCAGGAGAAGAGAGCATCTCCCCTCAGCAGATGGAAGCGTGCCGTCGCGTTCACTCGGACGCATTTTTGTCGGAGGGAAATGAGGAAGGGGGGGACAGGCTCCCTGTTGTGTCCTCATTCTGACTGCCTTCATTTGTCACACAGAATCCTGTTACGTTATGGTTCAGGCTGTTCAGGGGCTGCGCATAGACTTGGCACTTGCAAATAAACAGGAGCAAGTTAATCCCATGTGCTCTAACGGGGTTAGGTGGAAAGTGAGGACAAGGCAGCCGGGGCCTGATGGAGCAACCTGAAGATGAGAATAAGATGTGGTGCTCAGAAAGGACCTCAGCCCTTTCCACTAGAGTCTGAGCCCATGTCTACTGTTAGACTTGAGATGGATATTTGGTTTGAAGTGGTCTGATACAATCTTATTTATTGTGGGCATTTGATAGAATCCAAGGTCTGTTTAGGTTGAAAGGACCTCTGGACATCACCTTGTCCAAACCCCTGCGTAAAGCAGGGCTGCCTTTGCTTAAGAATCATGTGCTTAAGAATCATGTTTCATGTAGCTATATATTTTAAAGGAGAGATTTTATAAGTCATGGTTTTTCCATTTTATTTTTAGTACTTTTCAGGCATCCTGTGGTCATAAATACTTCAGAAGTAATCTTCCCTGCTGTCTGTGTATTTTAACGTTTTTAATTTTATACCCAGTAGAACTATTTGTTGAAAAAATTTTTTTGACTAGCAAATTGTCTACAACTAGATCATGATGATCTCTTTGTTATTATTCAAATACAAGGTTGAAAAAATTGACAGCAATTTTAAGCTTGTATTCTCCTTTGTGGGGAATTTTCATCTATTCTAAATTAGAAAGTCAAGCTGTGCAATTAGTCCCTAGGACAATACCTTATCTTCTCCTGCTGCTTCTATCACTTCATCTGCCTTCCTTCACAGAATAACATTCTGTGGTTCAAAAAAATCCCCCTCTGGTCAGAAGAAAGAGAAAGCCAAGTGACATTCATAAGGAGATAAAATTCCAGCAATGTCTCCTTGTGCCTGTCCAAATTTTCAACTTCCAAGTCTCCAGTAAGAGGCCAGTCAAGCCTTCATCCCATCTGATTTCTGGCCATGGCACTGCCAGGCTGTCTGTCTACTGTGAGGAATATGGGAACATATTCACCTTATGGCAGCTCCAGCTTTGAGAGGTGGAAAAGAAAGTAATTCCTTTCAAAGCTGGTTTCCCCTACTTCAACTTCACAGTTGCCTGGAGGGAACCACCAGTTTATTTGCAGTTGTTGGCAACATCATGTTTCTAGAAGTACCCAAGCCTGGAAGTACCAAAGCTATTCTTCTGATGGTGTCATTAACCTGACATCCTGTGCTGGGCAATTTAAGGAGGAGGTTGCCTTTCTTGTTGGTAGGTGGGCACTTCATTTCTCATTTAAAGTCACGTTACTATCATCTGCTCCATTATAAGTAGAAATATAACTATCTCTAAAAAGTACAAGCTGGGATAATGTGTCCTGGACTTTTCTAACTGCTGGCAGGCTTTACAAGCTGTAGGAGTTATAAATGTTGCACTCTGAGTTACCAGTTTAGCAGCAAGTCATTCATGCTTATAAAACACACACTTAGCAAGAAATGTTGGTAAGGTTTTTTTGGTGGTGCTTTGTGGTTTTTTGGTTGTACTAGTTGCTGTTAAAATACCTTCATTAACACTTTGTTGTATTATTATTTTAAAAGAACTACTGCTATTCTCAAGTGAAATTAATGTAAAACGTAATTGAAATGCAGGCAAGTCATATACACAAAAAACCAAGTCACAATATGAGTTGCATATTGTGCTGGAGGGCCACTGAAAGTGAAAAGGTCAAGTTCTCCTCCCATGAGATGATGATGTCTGGAAAAAATTGAGATTGCTGTAGTTCAGCTAGCACGGTTAAGGCACCATGCATGCACAGATGCTTAGACAGGCAGATTACATTGCTATCCCAGTCCTCCTTTCTAAGAACAGATTTTGGGTCATATTAAGTCCTATATAAGTTTAGTGAAGTGGATGGAAGGAAAATAATTCTCTTTCTATTTCTGGTGGGATTGAACCCATATGTTTGTATGTTGGTATCTGAGCCAGGAACTTCTACCCTCTCTGTCTGTAATAGTAATTTAAATGCCATAGCTGGATCATTTTCCCATAGCTTTTTAAGGTCTCATCTGTTTCAGTATATCAGACTATCAGCTCTAAAGGTCTATATAGTAGTGTATTTCATAATTTAAATTAATGCATTTGGTATTTTTTCTTACTTTCAGATTTGTTTAGGTCAATTAATATATTGGCAGTTCCTTGTTTTGCATCTGTATTCAGCTGATTTTTTCCTCAAATTGCTGCTGCACTCCATTATTACTAAATGAAAAGAACACACATTACACAGACGTGTAAGTTAATTCATCCTATGTTGCAAGACTAACAATAGTCAAATCTGGTAGATTTGGCTGCAGAGATTAATGTTGCTATTATATACGATGCTCAGTTCCAAATACTGCAAATGCTCAGGGAAATGATGTATGAGTTACATCACAATGTGGCTGAAAGCACATTTTGCTCAGCACTACTTTCTGTTCTCTTTAGATTTCTGTATGTCTTCCATCACGTGAGATAGTTCATTATAACTCCACAGGACACCTACTTAGTTTCTCAGTTATGTTATTTACTGACCTAAAAGCAGCCTAATGTCTGCACTTTAAAGAGCAGTTATTCAGATGTTAAACAAGTATTTGTACAGTATGGTGATTCTTGTTATGCCACAGCAGCACAGGCACAAATATATTCTTGGTGCCTAAACCATTTCTGATTAATGAACCCCGCTCTTTCATTTCAATGCAATTGCTACAGCATGCTTAGAGCTCGTATCATACGCCTTCCTAGACCTTACTGATCTTCTGAGTTTTACCACATTAAAGAGAAGATTTCATGTGGATGGAAAGGTGGGGAAGGAGATGCATATAAAATCAATCTATTTTGCCAATAACTTCATGAGTTTTGACTTCTGATCCTTATTCATTTAATGTGAAAAGCTTATTCCATCACAGTATAGTTCTCCCCTATGTTCTCTTCATCTGTGGAGTTATCCTTCTCTGTGTGTCACGCTGATCATATAATTATCCTGTGATGGTAGACAAAATTTAATTGTTCCTTAAGTCAACCAAAGTCAACTACCTGATCTTTGAGCATTTTGCGTAACAATTTAGAAGCATTAGTTTAATAGCAAAGGCAAGAAACCCATGTTGCAATTGTGAAGCAGCTAAAGTATGCAAAACATTGTCACTACAATCCTTAGGATGCTGACCACTGCGTCTGAAGACCTGTAATAAACATACGAATTATAGCTGAAATGTGTGTGTTACAGTGAACATAGCCTGGGTCCTCAGAGAAGCCTAGACCTTTTTGAATGCTGGTTGAGTTTTGCTCGGAGGATATAGTTGCTTTGCCTCCAGGTGGGGTGTTTAATTTTAGGGTGCTCCTACCAATGAGTCTAGAGAACCACTGTTTCTTCTGCTTTATCTACCACCAGAGCTATGTACCATAGTTCATGCACATGTATGTTCATACCCATATAGAAATTTCCCCAGGTGGTCCTCCAAGTTTAAATGCTGCCACTTCTCCAACAGCATCCAGAAATATTCCAAAAACTTACAGACCAGCACAAGGTCTAATCTTACCTGCCATCTCCTTGGCAAAAACAAAACCTGAAGGCCACAGCCTGCCAGCTCAGTTGTTTACAGCACAGCAAGAGATTCAAAACTGACCTGAAGATCAGTTTCGTATTATTCCAGTGTAAATGGTGCCTCCTTACATAAAGGCTAACTTGCCCTAAGTCTGTCTCAAGGTACTAAAACAAGTAGGGTGAATGGGCATATCCTGGCCATATTCTTTTTTTCTCTGATAATGCTGTAACGTGCAATTGTACTCGTATATGCAGAGACGGAGGCTCTTAAAAAAAGCCCTACACTTATTTTGTGATGATATGAATCACTGCAGGAGTGATCTTTAGGGTTCAACAGGGCTTTGATCCATATTTCACAATCAGTGCAGCAAATAGTTGTAATGATGAAGAACAACCAAGATAAGCAAACAGGAATTTGTCTCCAAATTTTCCTTCGGTAATAGCCTGAAGGAAGTTGTGATCAACAATGTCCGTTAGGAGATCCATTAAAGTTCTTTTATTTTTTTTTAATTATCTGTAGTTTATCATCATCCAGTGAATTTTTTTTTAAAATTCCCTCCTTCTGAAATTATTTGGGATTGAGAAACTTAATGTCGGTTAAGCTATATCAGCAGATTATTTTTCTCTTGATACTGTCTTATAAAACAAAATATTTTTCATTATGTGCTTCAGAAGGAAGACCTAAAATATGTTCAAAATGTGAATTAGAATGTACAGCTCGAAGGAAGAAAGTGTAGTTCAATTTCATGGCAAATGTGTAATTCGTAGACTTGTTTTTACAAATCTTATTTAAAAATACAGGGTTTAGAGCTGATATAAGTTTTCTAACGAAAAACATTTCCTTCTGGAAAAATTCCATGTTTTCAGAATAGTATTATGGTGAAATATGCTTCCAGAATTCTCCTGAAAAAATCTGGAAATATTTTTGTTTCA